TAGGCCACTTCGTGTTTTTCAAGTTCCCAGAGCTCCATTCCCGGGCCACATTTTGAATGCCCGGAGCCAACTGTAGGCCACTTCGTGTTTTTCTATTTCCCAGAACTCCATTCCTGGGCCACATTTTGAATGCTGAGGCAGGCTGATGCTGCGGCCGAGGCAGGCTGAGGCTGAGGCAGGCTGAGGCTGAGGCCGAGGCTGAAGGCAGACTGAGGCTGAGGCTGAAGCAGACTGAGGCTGAGGCTGAGGCAGGCTGAGGCTGAGGCTGAGGCAGGCTGATGCTGAGGCAGGCTGAGGCTGAGGCTGAGGCTGATGCAGGCTGAGGCTGAGGCAGGCTGAGGCTGAGGCTGAAGGCAGACTGAGGCTGAGGCTGAAGCAGGCTGAGGCTGAGGCTGAGGCAGGCTGAGGCTGAGGCAGGCTGAGGCTGAGGCTGAGGCAGGCTGAGGCTGAGGCTGTGACTGCGACTGCCGTTGCCGCTGCGACCGTCATCGCGAATGCGACTACGACTGCGAGAACCGCAGAATTCTACAACTGGATTTTCATTTGAATCTTAAGGGGAATGCTTTCATATATGCTTCTACACATCGCTGTTAGGTTGCTTTGCCGGGATAATTTCTTAATCAAAGTGTGCCCCTCGACGGTCGCACCTTGTTTTCTGGCAGGGGAAGTCTTGATGCTCAAACTGGGCCCCTGGCCCCCGGGTTACAACAACAACGGCTCCCGTTTGAGATTTCCTCACAATTTAGCCAGGACCCCCGCTCCCGCCCGAGACTTCCTCCATTTTATTCAGGAATTGCGCTCTCGCTTGGGACCCCCTTACAATTTACTCAGGAATCGCTCTCCCGGCGCTCTGGAGTCGCGCTCTCGCTGGAGACTCGCTTGCAACTTACTGAAGAATGGCCCTGCGTTGGGATTTCTTGCAATTTGCCCAAACGCCGCGCTCCCGACACCCAGGCACCCAGGAGTCGCGCCCGTTGTGGCCCCATGTGCATGCCCTTCGTGGCCCCGCTGTCGTCATTTGTGACCCCCATCACTGTCCAACGTGGCCCAGTTGCTACCCTCAGTGGCCCCATAGTTGCCTTCTGTGGCCCCGCATTATCTGCACTTCGTGGCCCCCGCTCGTTCGCGCTCTTCGTGGCCCCATACGCATTCCCTTCGTGTCCCCGCTGTCGCCCTTCGTGGCCTACTTCGTGCCCTTCGTGGCCCTGCTGTCGTTCTCTCTCGCTCTCGCTTTCGCTCGTCGTCGCCGTCGTCGTTCGACGTCGTCGTCGTCGTCGTCGTCGTCGTCGTCGTGGTCGGTCCCCTGTCCGTCCCTCTTGGGGTCGGGTCGACGGTCCGCGGCCGCCCCGCCGATCAGCGCTGCCGCTGGCCAGGCCGACGGTCCGCGGCCGCCTCGCCGCTTGCCGGGGCCCGGCCTGCAGGGAAGAAAGGTATACCCCCCAAAAGAGATTCGATCGAAGACGAAGAGGGCGGGTATCGAGGGTTTGGGAAATACGCGTTATTGGACACTCGAGCATTTAAGGGCGAACAGTCTTAAGATTATTGTTGTTGTTGTTGGTGGTGTTGGTGTTGTTGTTGTTGTTGTTGTTGTTGCTGTTGCTGTTGCTGTTGCTGTTGCTGTTGTTGATGATGTTGATGTTGATGTTGATGTTGATGCTGATGTTGATGTTGATGTTGATGTTGCTGCTGGTGTTGTTGAGTACTCCTGTTCTAGAGAATAATTATTGCCGATCTCGGGAAACGGTTCCGCGCATTCTCGCCTCGACGCTAGCTACATGTTCTTTGAAAACGAGGCTCCCGCGCGAGCGTTGGCTTGAGTATACACATAACGATGGACCGGGTCCGGGGGCCGGGGGCTGGCGCCCCGACCGCAAATGCGGGGCCCGGGCGTCGTTTTCCTTGTTTTTTTACGTGGTTTCGGCGACCCGGGGCCCACACCCCCAGCCGCAGCGATGGCTCCAGACGCCTTCCAAGACGACTCTCATGACGCCAAGAAGGCCCCCGAAGGCCCCGAAGACGCCCCAAGAGGCACCCCGAGAGAGCCCCAATAAGCAAGCATGGTCGATTTCCTATGGGAAAACTGATCTTATTGGCGTGTTCGCCTTTTGGGCTTCCACTGCGTCGAAGACAGCTGAAGAGGCCCCCAAGACTGCCCCACAGGCTCTCAAGAGGGCTCCAAGACGACCCCAAGAGGGTCCCAAAACGGCCCGAGAGGCCCCCAAGACAGCCCAAGAGAGCCCCAGGATGAGCCCCAGAGGGGTCCCAGAGGTGCACAACCATGTATACATTCCGAGCTTTCGGCTCCAGAGGCTCCCAGGAGGCCCCAAGAGGTCCCAGGAGGCCCCAATAGGCCCCCCGGAGGCCCCAAGAGGCCTCCAAGAGACCTCCAGGAGGCTCCCAAGAGGCACCCCACTAGAGCCCCAAATAAGCAAATTTCGTCGATTTCCTATAGGGGAACTGATATTTTTGGCGTATTCGCCTTTTGGGCTTCCACTGCGTCCAAGACGGCCCAAGAGGCACCCAAGACGGTCGAGGATGCCGGAGAGGAGGAGGAGGAGGAGGAGGAGGAGGAGGAGGAGGAGGAGGAGGAGGAGGAGGAAAAGACTCCCCCCTGGGCCCCCCCCCCAGGGGACGAGGACAGGACGAGGACCAACGCGGGAGGGAAGGGGAGGGGGAGGAGGACCCCCAGGCCCCTAGGAGGACCGGCGCGCCGGAGAAGGACCGGCGTGGGAGAGGAGGACCCCCAGGGGCGATGCGAATCCGACCACCACCCCTGGGACCCCCCCCCCGCCGAGGAAGGGACAAAGGGAACGGGCTTCTTTTTCAGGTAGTGAGGACGTGGATGGAATTCGCTCAAGCTGCGAACCCGTTCCCCGAACGAGGAACGGGGCTCTCTCTCTCTCTCCCTCTTTCTCCCTCTCCCCCGACGGGACAGGAGGATGGGAAGGAGGGGACGAAAGAAGGCTCCCCGTCGACGGGACCAGTTAGACACCCTGCACACGCTGACACGGTCGGCGGATTTGACAGTGATCGTGCCCCCCCCCAGCACGCGCGCAAGGGCGTGCGAATGATTTCGGCATGCGGTGCGAGAGGCCCGTTTGGCATAATTCCATTGCAATGATGAGAACTTGTGGTTTTAAGGAGAACTCGCAAGAGCGCGAGCGCAGGTTTTTTGTTGAAAACCGATGTTGCAAAACCATGTGTTTGCATATGGCTTCGCGACGTCGGTTTTGACATCCTTACGACACCGAGGGTTTTTGACTGATTTCGGCATGCGCGCGCGACGACGCGCGCGCACTTCGTTTCATGTTTTGCACAAAAGGGTTCTTGCGACAGAATGCGCGCAAGACCGTTTGAACGAGTTCGACATGCGCGCACGCGTGAAACCCTTTTGGTAGCATGTTATGGACACGTTGAAAACGAAAACATTTTTTTTAAGTTCGCAAGAGCGCGCGCGAGTTTTTTTTTTAAGCTCCGTGTTGCGAAGCCATGTGTCTTTTATATGTTGCTTGGACACTCGGCTTGAATTCCTTACGAAACCGCGGGTTTTTGAAGGATTTCGGCATGTTCGCGCGACGACGCGCGCGTGTGCACTTCGTCAAGTTTTTTGCAAGGGGTTCTTGAAAACGGAAGATTGTTGGTCAACGACTGCGCGCGCGTAGTGTTTTCTCCAGGAAGGATGGCGGGGGGGGTCGATACCGGCTCGGCTGGGATGGTGCGAGTTCATATTTAAGATGAACGATGGGACATAATCGTATGTAAATTGCAAGACGAAAAAAGGGTGGGGATAATCAGAGGAGGGATGGGGTCTATTTCTTTTTTATTAAGAAGAGTTAACGGTGCAAAGCAACGCAGTGCGAAACAATGCGAAACAATGCAACGCGGGCGGCGAGGCGGTGGGCGGCGATGAGGTGGCAACGGCGGCCACATGGCGGCCACAGCCGCCCGCATGGCCAGGCGACGAGGCGGCGACGGCGGCCACATGGCGGCCAGAGCGGCCCGCAGGCCCATGCGACGGGCGGCGATGAGATGCGATGAGGCGGCCACATACCAGCCAGAGCGGCCCGCAGGCCCAGTTCTTTAGAAGACAAGGAAGAACCCTAAGTGCAAGTACCGTTGAAGGAAACTCAGGCGATCTCTTTGTCTATCTATCGGGGCAACCATCAGGACAACAATCAATCATATATCTGTCATTATCATTATCGATCGGTCTCACTACCTGTCTACCTCACTACCAATCACTACCATGCTATCTGTCTATCCAACTATTCATCGATCGGGGGCGACCATCTGGACAACCATCGGGACAATCATCGGGACAACCATCAGGACAACCATCGGGACAACCATTTGGACAACCATCGGGACGACCGTCTGACAACTTTTGCGACGACCACCGGGATGATCATCGGAACAACCATCGGGACAACCATCGGGACAACCACCAGTACAACCATCGGGACCATCGGGACAACTGCAGGCGAGACGACCATCGAGACAACCATCGGGACATCCATCGGGAGAAGCATCGGGACGACCTATCGGACAACCATCGGGACATCCATCGGGACATCCGCCGGAACAACCATTGGGACAACAATCCAGACAGTTGGGGGCCACGGACCGGACCCAGAGGGCGAAACATTTTGGTATGGTTCGGCCCCTACTGGGGCGGGCACTCGCGCAGGTTCGCTTCGCCCGCATGCGCGCCACGATCGAAACGAAACGACTTCCTGGTAGAAGCACCTCACGTGTCACTGCGGTCTCACCCGCCAACCTCCGATCACACGCCACTCGTAGTTCGATCGGCCCTCTTTCGTATCACCCGCCTTGCGGTACTCGCAGCTGCACATGGCTGGGTCTTTCGTCTGGATATCGATTCTCGTCCTCCCTCGCCTCACGTGGCAAGCCCTGAGGCTCCTTGGGACCCCCAGGTGTCGATGACGAATGTGCCCCAATTTTGTTATATCAAAAGTATCATCGTACGCGCCAGATCTAGGAGTCAACCCTCGGATCGCCTGGAGACTTCGCCTGGCTATTTGGAGACTCTTCAGCAGTGGGCTGCGACGGGTGCAGATGCCAGAGGTGGCCATGGCCCACTGCGCCGCTCGCGCCCTCAACGGGAGGGCGCTGCTCTCGGCCCTGCAGCGCTCCGCTAATCCGACCATCGTTGCAGCTGGCGAGCGCCAACTCCCCTGACCCTGAACCCGCCGTTCTTTGCTGGAGTTTCCGGCTGAAGATTGTGTTGGAAATGCAACCCAAACGATGCGAAAAAGTCGGGCGGAAATTGCCGCCTCGGACACGGAAACAGTACTTCGGGCGGCAATTGCCGCAGAAGTATTACGGAAAAGCGACGGCAAAGTGGGGCGGCAATTTGCATTCAAGGAGCGTGGGCCGTACGGCGGGAGTTCCCGCCTTGCCTGCGAAATCGCCCAAACCACGGCGGATCCGGAGTCGGGGGGGAGGCCCGTTCCCGCCCACCATGGCGAGCCCTGGGGCGGCGGGGCGCGGAGGCGCCGCCAGCGCTAGCGGTGCCGCGGAGGCACCAGCGCCGCCGGCGCCAGCGGGGCCGTCTGCGGCGAGCCCAAGGGCGGCGGGGCGCTCCGCAGGCGCCGCAGGGGCACCAGCGCCAGCGGCAGAGGCTGGCTGTATACGCAAGCCTTGAGAGCCCTGCGTTGCACCTTGTTCACACGCCCGGCTTCGGGCGCCGGGGCCCTCAAAGATCGACCCGGCTCGAGACATGCCACCGAAAGATGTGGTTTGGGGTGCGGGTTGTGATTTCTCGTGATGCTCCTTTTTCTCGCGTCGTCGGATCTCAGGGGCGAGTGTCCCTTCGCCAGGGCGGTCCCTGGTGCGCGGGCTTCCTGGGGGGCGACGCGGGGCCGCCTCCCAGGGCAACGCAAGCCGCGCACCAAGGGTCACGCGTATGGGGGGTCGCCCTTGCGGCGGGAAAACTTAAGATTCGAGATCGCCGGATCTCGGTCTATCCGATTTTTTTGACGAGGCCGTCCTGGATTTTGACGGACCAGTGTTCGTTGTATGCCTGCAGCGGGAGCTCGCGTCAAACTTCTCCGAGTGGGTCTCGTCACTTTCCGGACGGCCCCGTCAGGCCAAGCCGAGTCCCCCAAACCCGAGTTGTTCGTCTCCCCGATTGTGTGTTCGGCAGGTTCGCGTCGTGTCGACCGCGGCGACCCCAGCGCGGGCGTTTAAGGTTGAACGCCGCCTGTGGCCCAGAATCGGCCCATCCTTGAACGATCGGGCCTTTTTGAAGGGGCCGATCGTTCAAGTTTGAACGATCCCCGCGGTGTCAGGAACCAACGCCAGGGTCGACGCGACGCAAACCTGCCGTAGCCGACGAGGGCTGGACGCGGCACTACGGGGGCACCACCGCCGCCGGCCTGGAGGCCCCACCGCCCTACGGGGACCCGTCCCTGGGCCTGGTGTACTGGGATGCGCGGCACACCGAGGGCGGCGACGGGCCCTACGACTGGTTCCCTTCGGGGCCCGCTCGGCGTCGGAGCGCGCTCGGCCGCCGGGCCGCCGAGAGGGCTCGACTCGTCAGTATCGTTGAACCGACCCCGATCCCCATCCACATCCCCTTCGAGACCCCCACCAGATGAACCCCCCAGTTGGGGATGCCCCCCTCGAAAACCGAAGGGAACGGCCTAATTCACCATTTAGAGGGTTAAATCGGCCAGTGGGGCCCAGGCCACGCCGCTGGGGATAGGGATCGGATAAACGATGCTCAATTCCGACAGCGTGGTGCGACAATGGCCCGCTCGGCAGCCGAAGGGGCTCGATCCGCTTCGGCCACGCGCAGAAGGGGGGCAGGGGGAAGGGCGGAAGGCTGCTTAGAAGCGTCTCTGCTTCTTAGAAGGCGCGGGCCTTTGTTGTATATGCAGGGCCGGCGCCTTCTAAGAAACAGCCTCCTTCCAAGAAGCCTTCCCCCCTCTCCCTACCCCTCTGTGCGCACCGCTAAGACGGGGCTCGATCACCCCTGACTGCGATCCGCCGTGCTCTGGGCGATTTCGGAAGTCCTTTGATGCCGATTTCCGCTCCAATTTGCCATCGCTGTTGCCGCCGTACGTTTGCGGAAATAGCCAGTCTGTTCTGAGGCGGAAATTACAGCAGTTTCGTTGTCGCAGCGGTTGGGTTGCGTTCCCGACAGCATTGCAAGCAGGAGAAATGATTACAGGACGGCGGATCCAGAGTCGGGGCCATTTCGGCGGCCGAGTGGGGTCGGGCGCCGAGCGGGCCTCGCAAGGAGCCGCGGAGGTACCTGGGCTTCGAGGCCCTGCGCGGGCCGCTGCTGCGCTGCCTGCCGCCCCCGAACGGCCGGCAGCGGCTGCTGGAGGTGTCGGGGGGGCGCCAGGAAGCTTGTGCTGAGACCGGGCCTGCCGCCGCGTTGGGGACGGCCGCGGCGCGAATGTCAACGGTCCAGCTTTCGTGCGATGTCTGCAGCGGCAGCTCGCGGCAGATGTCTCACTGGGTCTTGGCATGGTCCCTGGCGGTCTCGTCGGGGCACCCCCGAGGGCCCCTCCCGAGCCCGAGTCCTGCGCCTCCCCGACTGGGCCCCGTCGCCGAGGAGCAGGGCCGAGGCTCGGTGATCCCTGGTCGAGGTGTCTGGGCGGCTCCAGGGTCGAGGCTGCTGCCGCTCTCGGGGTCGCCACGAGCCGAGCAGCAGCGGGGCGCAGGAGGGCAGGGGAGGAGGGGGAGGAGGAGGAGGAGGAGGAGGAGGAGGAGGAGGAGGAGGAGGAGGAGGAGGAGGGGGAGGAGGGGGAGGAGGGGGAGGAGGAGGAGGAGGGGAGGAGGAGGAGGAGGAGGAGGAGAGGAGCAGGAGCAGGGAGGAGGAGGAGGAGGAGGAGGAGGAGGAGGAGGAGGAGGACAGGAGGAGGAGGAGGAGGAGGAGGAGGAGGGAGGGAGGAGGAGGAGGAGGAGGAGGGGGAGAGGAGGAGGAGGAGGAGGAGGAGGAGGAGGAGGAGGAGGAGGAGCAGGAGCAGGAGCCAGGAGCAGGAGGAGCAGGAGGAGGAGGAGGAGGAGGATAGGAGGAGGAGGAGGGGAGGGGGAGGAGGGGGAGGAGGGGGAGGAGGAGGAGGAGGAGGAGGAAGGAGGAGGAGGAGGAGGAGGGAGAGGAGGAGGAGAGGAGGGGGAGGAGGAGGGGGAGGAGGAGGAGGAGGAGGAGGAGGAGGAGGAGGAGGGGAGAAGGAGGAGGAGGAGGGGAGGAGGAGGAGGAGGAGGAGGAGAAGGCCACATGGAGCGTTCCAGAAAGGGCCTCGCCTTCGAGGGTCGAAGGAGTTACCATCTCTTCCTCAGCGGAAGGGCGGCGGACGTGAAACGAGGCCGCCTCCGCCGGCGGAAGCAGACGGAAGCTGGCGGAAGTGAAAGATGCGCCCCCAATAGATGACATTGTGTTGGGGTTCAGGGTTTCCGGAACCCGCCACATGGAGGCTGGATCAGACCCGACATGCTGCCCATGCGCATCCCAGGACAGGTCTTTGGGTCGACCTTGAGAAGCGCGACGCAGACCTGCAGGGTTCACAACGAAGTCGGGCGCGGCGACCGGGTACGCCAGGGCTCGGCGTCCGACGGCGTCCGAGCCCTGTCGCCGCCGAGTGGACATGGGATTGAGCCCATTCGGCTGCCGAGCGGGCCAACTTCGCACCACCCTGTCGGACTTGGGCTCGTTCGGCGGCCCATTCGGGGGTCGAGTGGGCTCACACGCCGGACGGGCTCAGGGGGGAATCGTGGGGACTCCATGAAGAAATCACGGCGGAACGTGTTTCTCCAAGTCTGCGGGCGTGACCCGTCCCCCTGAGCGGCCCTCGCTTCGCTTCCCCCCCTCCTTCGGCCGCCACCCCTTCCTTCCTTTTTCCCCGGTTCCTGCATGGTGGCGCAATTCGCTACCACGGTGCCCCCGTTTAGTTCGCCCCTCCGCCAGCGCAGTTTTTCTGCCAAGCCGCCGACGCAAAAAGTGATTCTCCAAGTTCGGGCCTCTGGGGCCCGCTGCCGGGCCCCAGGGCTGTCAGGGAACGGCTCGGGGTGGGACGCCAGTCCCTGGGAAGGGGGTCGCGACCTCCAGGGGCCCACAGTGTGAACGATCCACGGCGTCGGCGTGAGCACTTCACGGCGTCGGGTGTCTGGGATCGGCGCCCAATCGGGGCCCCACCCTGTCCGGAGGCGGACCGTTTCGCTAGCGGAGGGGGCCCCGTCGCCGAGGTGTCGTCGAGTCTTGGCCGATGCCTCCCCCCCCCGATCCAATCAGAGGGGTAGCAAAAGCACAGACACAAGTCATCGTCGACTCCCAGGCAGAGTATGGGAAAATATGGGATATGGGACGGAAGACGAACATCCAGAAAACATGGGAAAGTAGGGGGAATCTTGGGATTTGTGTCTGTTTATTTGTGTGTCCCAGGACCCCTTCATCCAATCCCGCCCGTCTTGGCTCCCCTCAGAGGTGGGCTGTGGCACCTCTGAGGTGCTGCGCTGTCTGTGGCAGATCGGCTGGAAGAGCGCGACCGGGATCGACATATCCGAGGTCGCCGTCGAGAAGGGCGCGCGCCTGGCGGATGGCTGCGAGGGCCTCCGTCTGCTGAGGATGGACGCTTGCGAGCTGGACTTCGAGGATGCGAGCTTCGATGCCGTGTTCGACAAAGGGCTCCTGGACACCCTTGCCACAAGCGGAATGGCGGCGGCTCGCGCAGAGGCCCTACTTTCACACGTGTACCGCGTGCTGAAGCCGGGTGGCGTCTACGCTTTGGTGTCGCACAGCAAGCCTGCGTTCAGGATGCCATATCTTAGGCTTGCTGAGCATTGGACATGGGCCATCGAGTATCGAAGATGCCTACGGCGAATCACCGCCGCCTCCTGCAAGCGCCGATGTGGCCGAAAGTTATGGTCAAAGCCTGGGCAACAAATCGAACTATGTGTTTCCCGAGCCGTAGTGGAAACCCTTCGGGGGAGAGCATCAGGAGGAGGCGGCGGCGGCGGCGGATCTCCACATGTTCATGTCAACGGAGCATCAGGAGCGGCGGACGCGGGGCGCGCATGCGCAATGTGCCCAAGTCGGTGACAAAATGTGCAGAGGTCCCCATCCCGTTGATCCATTGAGGACTCCTCGATCGAGAAGCCGGCCAGACCCCAGCAGAGGAGACGACGAACGGGGAACGACAGGAGGTGAGAACGACGGGCGAGCGGAGGAGGAGAGAGGCTACGCAGAAGCATCAGGAGAAGGAAGAGGATAAGGCCTCTTGGGAGCCTTTTCAGATCGGTGCGAATTGTTTCTCAAATCTGGTTTTCGGGGAGGGGGCGGGCATTGCGCATTGGAGTGCAACCATGGAGGAGCCTCTGTATTCAATTGACACCGGTCGCTTGCCCTGCTCCTCCTGGCACAGCGGGGGAAGCAAGGGCGTGGACCACAGAACTCGGGACTCCTGGGTCTTCAGAGGCGTTGTGACACGCGTGGACAGGAATGTCGAGGGGCGAGGCCCGATGTATTGGCTGACAGCTCCACAGCACGGACACTTCTACGCATATGGGAAGAAGCAGGGAATCTTGAAGAGCGCATGAAGCTATCCGCTCTGGGAGTCGGGATGGTCTCCCGAGCGCGCCTAGGTCATGGTCTTGTAAGGCAGCACAAGCTGGGCCACGCAGTTTTTTGGGGTTCGTCTTGGGCGTCCGGGGGGCCTCTTCAGGGGTAGATTCTGGCGGGTTTGGGGATTGTTTTGCATTGGAATTGGGCTGATCTGGGTTGGTTCGGCCCCAGTGGATGGTTTCAAAGTCAAAATTTTGGCAGCATTCGGAGCACGAGGTGGTCGACTCACCTGCGTTTCTTACTTGTTACGAATAATGGGAAACGGAGCCCGGGGGGCGGGGGAGTGAGCTTCAATGAACACCGAGAGGAGGCGGAAGTCCTTTTCTACAATTGTACCTTACCTGGTTCAGTTGTTCTAGACTTTGACTCCAGCCCGCCGCGGTCCGTTTTCTAGAATTTTACGACGGCGTCCGTCGTTGCCGGTCAGTCTGTAGGATCGGTCGGACGGTTGTCGTCGTCGCCGTCGTCGCCGTCGTCGTCGTCGTCGTCGTCGTCGTCGTCGTCGTCGTTCGTCGTCTTTGGTTCGCCGCAGTCGGTTGTCGTCGGTCGGACGGTCATCGTTGCCGTCGTCGTTGCTCGTCGGTCGTCATCGTCGTCGTTTGTTGTCGTCGTCGTCGTCGTTCGTTGTCGTCGTCGTCGGGCGCTCGGTCGCTTGTCGATCGGTCGGTGGGCTCGTCGGTCGTTCGTTCGTCGCCGTCATGCGTCATCGTCGGTCGGACGGTCGTCGTCGCCGTCGTCGTCGTTCGTCGTCCGTCGGCCGGCCAGCCAGTCGGTCGGTCGGTTGGTCGTCATCGTTGGCGTCCTTGTCGTCGTCGTCGTCGTCGTCGTCGTCGTCGTCGTCGTTCGTCGTTGTCGTTGTCGTCGTTCGTTGTTGTTCATTGTTTTCGTCGTCATCGTCGTCGTCGGTCGGTCGGTCGGTCGGTGGGGCCAGACCGCCGCAAGGGAAACCGCCCCTTAATATGTGCGACTCGCGTTGAAAATGGCGCGTGTCCTAAGGAAAAATGTTGCACCTGTGTGTGGGGGCACTCTTGGAGCCTCCTGAGAGTTTCCTGGGGGCCAGTTGGAGACCTCTCCGTGGCTTCCTCGGGTCTTTAGCGGCCTGGGAGGCTTCTTCCGGGCCTCTTGGCAGTCATAAGGCGTCCCTGGCTTGTCTGACGCCGTCGGAAGCCGTGTTGGGGCCCGCTCTTGGCCGTCTTGGGGTTTTCAGAGCGTTTTATGAGCCTTGTGTGCCATCTCAGGGCCCTCTTGGGGCCGCCTTGGGACCTCTTGGGCCGTCATAGTGCCATACAAGCCAGTAGTTGAAAGTTGGTATTTTTGGCTTCCCAGATCCCAATCTACTTCAAGCGCCTTCCTGCTTCAAGGGCCGATATGCCTTAAGTATGCTATGTTATTCTCTGGGAGGGCCTGAACCCAATCTACTTGATCCGCCTTCCTACTTCGTGATTTGACCTACTTCTTCCGACCGGCGTGTACGTGAGGCCTTGGGGGCGATCTGGGGGGTCTCTTGGGCGGGTTTGGGCCGTCGGAGGGCCGAGCAGAAGGAACTACCAAAATCAATCAACAACCTTCGGAGCATCACTGATGTTGGCCCCTTTGGGCCGTTCTGGCGGACCTCCTAGAAGCCACTTGGGCCGTCTTGGGGCCATCTTGGGGCCTTTTATGGGCCTTTTTGGCAGTCTTACTCAGGCCACCTTGAGGTCATACTGGGCCGTCTCAGGTGCATCTTGCGGCCATCTTGGGCTCTCTTGAGGCCAGATTGGCCATCCTGAAAGCCATCGTCACCATCTTGGGGCCGTCTTGTGGGGAGAGGCCAACGCAGAACGATCTTGGCGGGGCTTTCCGCACGGCGGCGGGTTGGGCCGAGACCTCAGTGGAAGTTCTTTGCATCAGAAGCAGCACGCCCAAACATCTAGCACGCCGTGCGCCCCTGTGGCACGCCGCATGGGGCGGTGGATGGCGGAAAGTGCGCACATCGTTCGATCCGCTAGACGGCTTGAAGGGGGTTGGCAGCTTGACCCGCCGGGATCCAGTCGCCAAAATGGCAATTTTGCTGCGGACATCCCCAGACAAGGCTGAGATGTCTTGGGGTCGCGGCTTCTAGACGGCCAAGACAGCCCGAGAAGATGGCTCTAGGACGCCCCACTTCCGCCCAACAAATTTCCATGTCGCTGGGGACCCCGCAAGCATAAGATGATGTCGACCTCGCTCTTGCCCGAGGGGCGATTTCGCTAGATACATCCTCGCAGCAATTAGATGCTACCGGCGTCGTCTAAGTCGCGGCTTCGCCCCATTTGGACATCATCATACACATGAAATGTTGTCGACGTCGCTCTTGCCCAACATGGCGGTTTCGTCAGGGACATCCTCGCACAAATGAGATGGTGTCGGCGTCGTTTTGGCCCTGGTCTTGCCCAACATGGCGACTTCGCTAGGGGCACCTTCAAGAAATTACGTATTTGCGACGTCGTTTGGGGCATCGCTATTGCAAGGCCTGCAAATGGTCCAACTGAGGCCTAGAGGACGGACCAAAATGACCCCCATATGGTCAAGAAGGCCTCCAGACAGTTTTTTTTCGTCAGCGGCGAGGCGGCGAAATCCGCTCCAGCGAGCAGCTAGGTATGGGCACTGGCTAGCGAATTGGCCGGCGTGCAAGGGAGGAGGGGGACGGCCGCGAGGAAGGTGGGAGGCTCAGACGCCGAAGAAGTCGACGACAAGCAGCCAGGCGGGCAGCACGAGATGGCCTCCAGGCAGGCAGCCCACGAATTTTCCAAGGACGTCCCAAGAAGGCTCCAGCAGGATCCCCGGCATGGCCGCATAGGGGGCACAAGATGCGCGTTTTTCCCCTCGGGCCAGCGGCCTGCGGCCGTTCTCTCACGCGCTCAAGTTCTCGACAGGCCCCGAGGGCTTGAGGTTACGTCGGGCTGTGCCCCTCTACAGATGGAATATTCCAAAATAGTAAAAAACAGTCTGGGGGCGATGTTCTGTGCATTTTGGGGGAATTTTGGTGCATTGTTTGACTATTTTTTATCGTCCAAAATCTGCCTGTAGGGGGACATGCCAGACCTAAGTTTAAGGTGCCGCCGAGGTCGTTCCAAGACGGCCCAAGAGGCTCCCAAGAAGGCCAGGCTGCTCAAGGGAGCCCGAAGACGGCCCGAGAGCCTCCCGGGTCCAAACGTGGAAAACGCATGGTTCTGGAAAGCGGGCGGTCCGAACGGGGAAAACATTCAAGTCGGACAGCGGACGATCCAAACGGTGAAAACGCATAGTTCTGAAGGGCTGGCGACCCAAGCTGTGAATTTTCATGGTTTCTGCACTCCCTGTGACAGTTCCGAGCACAGATGGACGGTCCAAGTTGGGAAAATGCGTTGTTGGGACAGCGGGCGGTCCAAACGTGGAAAACACTTGGTTCTCGAAAGCGGGCGGTGCAAACGGGGAGATCACGACATTCCGACAGCAGACCGTCCAAACAGTCCGATAGCTCCCGCGCGATTGCCGAAATGGCGATTCCGCTAGGGACATCCTTAAGCGCATGATCAATCTCCAACATCGCATGTTCCAACTTGTGTTTTTGCATCGCCTTGAAATCGCTCTTGAAGGGCCTCAAGGCGGCTCAAGAGGGCCCGAAGACATCCCGAGAGTATTTCCAGACAGCCGAAGAGGGTTCCAAGACTCCCATTGAATTCGACAGGACGAGGGGAAGAGAGGCCGTAAGAGGAGAAAGAACGGACAATCCAACGATCTCGGGCCATCACAAAGTGAGATGCGGTTTCCGTCCTGGTGCCCAGCAGGTCTGATATGGTCTGATGGCCTTCGGTCCGTCCCGCCACCCTGGCTGGACTGCGAGCGAGAGCGCACGTGGCTTTGCTCGCTGGGCACCGACAGTGAGTGGGGAGGGTGGGTACATCACGCGATTGGTTACGCCCGAGCTGGCTGAGTCGAAATCGCGGGCGGCAAAGAGAGTGGTGATGACTAGAGGGGGGTGGATATCATGCCGTGGGCCATGATATTTCCTCAGATTTCATGGCATCTCTTCTTACTTCATTACGGCCCTGGCCCCCCCCTGGGCCGCGCACACGCCGCTGGCCATGATTTGCGCCCCCCTCTCTTGGACGCCCCCCTCCTGGCCGCCCCCGACGAAAGGAGGTCACACAAATGGTTTGCCGTGCTGGTCCGCCGTGGTCGTCGGCCCACATGGGGGTCTGGGAGCACGTTTTGGAGTCCTGCCGGCTCTTGGGAA